TGAGACAGGTTGGCGTCAACCTAACAGACCTCCACCTGCCTCTACCTGTGGTAGGACTAAAAATTTGCACTAAAACAACCAGCCTAAACTTTTAAAAGACTAAAAAAAAACCTTTTTTTAAAGCAAGAAGGCAGAAGGCCAGGAATGCTAAAGACTAACCCACAGAAATCATGTGCCCATAATTTTCCAGCATCACATCCTCACTAGGGCTGAAAGAAATGGATTATCAAAGGCCAACATGAGGGAAGAGGCACAGGAGCCTAGCACTCCTTTGTAACTCCTAGCAAACAATGGGATAAGTCCCTAATGAGGTCTGTCCGTAACCATATGAAAGAGTAGATGCAAGGGGGTCAGAACTTGGTGGGTTTTCTGGAACTTACCTTCAGGGGCAGTAGCTGAATCCTTCACAGGCTGACCTGTGCAGACATCCAGGCTCCATGCTTCCCTTGCTTCCAGCCAGGAGATCAGAGCAGGTTTTGAAGGTGGCCCCACTGCAGAAAAGAAGGGAATGGGGTGGGAAGGAAAATGGGTCATACAGAACTATTCTCTAGGGCCTACCCACAACCTAAAATCCTGGTAAAGAACAAAGGCCAGGAAGACAATTGAGGAAACCAGACAGGAGGCTGAGCCAGAGGTAAAAGCCACACAACTACTCAACTCGTTAAATAAGTCATAATTTTTTAAATGCCTAAATGAACTAGGACCATGAAATATTCTCAATCTTTTCAATAACACAGCATAACAGGCATTACCATCTCCATTTTTCAAAAGAAGGGGAGTAAAGTAATAGATTAAAGTGATGTGGTTAGTAGTTACAGAGCCAAGATCAAAACCCAGGTCCCTTTCTACACATTACAATAAAAACCAAGGGCCAGGAAGATAGCTCAGCAGGTTAAATCACCTGCTGCCAAGCGGGACAACCTGGGTTTGAACCCTGGGACCGACATGCTATAAGGACAAAACAGACTCACATTAGTTGTCTTATGATTTTCCCGGGTGTATGCCTGGGCCCAAATACATGAACACAAAATTTAAGTAGTAATTTTTTTGAGACAGGGTCTCCCTGTACCCAGCTAGCTTAGAGCTTGCCATGTAGATCAGGCTGGTCTCAATCTCAGAGAGATCTATCTGCCGGCATCTGCATCCCAAGTACTGGGACTAAAGGCCTGTGCTATCACACCAAGCAAAATAATTTTTTTAAATGTTTAAAAAATTTGGCAAGGTGTGGAGCCCATACCTTTAATCCCAGCACTCTGGAGGAAGAGGCAAGCAGAGCTCTTTGAGTTCAAGGCTAGCCTGGTCTACATAGCAAGTTTAAGGCTAGCAGAGACTACAGGGAGACTCTGTCTCAAAAAAGACCAAAAAGAAAAAAAAAATTTTAATTTATTTTTAGTTTATATGTGAGTTTGTGTTTGTGTGTATTTATGTGTGTATTAACTGGACCCACACATGCAATGCCCATGGAGGCCAGAAGAGAGCATCAGATATCCTGATGGTTACAAGCTGGTATGTGGGTGCTGGAAACTAAACTGGGATCTTCTGGAATAGCCAGTACTCCTAACCAGCAGCTGAGCCATCCCTCCAGTCTCAAAATAAATGGTTGTTTGGTTTGGGGTTCTTTTATTTTGTTTTAATATTTTATTTATTTTTATTGTATGTGTATGGGTGTATTGCCTGCATGTAAGTAAGTGCACCTGTGTCGTGCAATGCCTGCGGAGGACAGAAGAGGCTATCAGATCCCCTGGAACTGGAGTTATGGACAGTTGTTAGCTGCCATTTGGTGCTGGGATTCAAGCCCGGGTCTTGAACAAGAACAACCACTGCTCTTAACCGCTAAGTCACCTCTCCAGCCCAAGGGGTCTTCTGTTTTCATGAGACAGGTTGGTCTCAATCTCACAGAACTCCACCTGCCTCTACCCATGGTAGGACTAAAAATTTGCACTAAAACAACCAGCCTAAATTTTTTAAAAGATTAAAACTTTTTTTAAAGCAAGAAGGCAGAAGGTGGCCAGGAATGCTAAAGACTAACCCACAGAAATCATGTGCCCATAATTTTCCAGCATCACATCCTGGTAGAGGTTCCTCTGAGACGAGTCCAGGTATCCCCACTCATCCTGAGAGAAGGTCACCTCTACATCCTTGAACGTCAAGCGTTCCTAAAAAAAATAAAAGAGAAATTATGACTTAGAGCTGACCATGGCTCTTAGTTTTCAGGAGGGAAAATGGGGCTGGCTGAGAAAGAACAAAAGATGAACCTGGCAATGGTGAAAGACCTTCGCCCAGCAGAAGGCCCTGGGCTCAAGGGGCATAACTGGGTCTCTGAACAGGAGGTCAAATGACAAAGAAACTCAGGATGAGGGGAGCTGTACCATCCACTAGGCAGCAATACTAAGACAGCGGGAAGGACCAAAAGCCCTGGGGCTCACCTGGGGCCGGGCTGTTACAGACTTGCTGGCTGTTACCTGCTCTCCTGTGCTCCCTTCCATCTGGAAATGGGCAGGCACCTGGGCGGCAGCAGGATCTGAAGGAGAAAAGAGCCATGAGACAGCTGCCCAGCTCTGGACACCCAAGAAGCCCATTCTCCCCACTCCTAGAGGACTCTTAAAACCCTCAAGCAGGCACACTGCTGTTCAGTACCCACAGGACGTGTGTCTGCTGGGGGCCAAGAAGCGGGGAGTGCAGGTGCAATGGAAGAAAGCAGCCAGACATGGATCACAGAGGGGTTGGAGAGAACACAGAGCTAAGGGACAGAAAGATTCTTGAGAGAACAGATGGTAACAAGATGATGGTATAGGAAATACAGGAAGTGTGACATAGGCCAGGGTCTGAGAACAGGGCTGTGAGTACCGGATTGCCCAGCAAGGAAGTCACACACTCCTATTGCATGTGGAGATTCCAAATGGTCCCCCAGAACAGAGTCGCTCCTGAAAGGCGAAGCAGGGGACCATATCTGTGCAGAACATAGGGCTCCTGTGCCCATCCAATGTACATCTGGGCTCTGAGCAGGGTGTGGGTCCTGGGTGAGGAAAAAAAATGTCATGAGAGCATTCCTTCAGGAATCAGAACTCAAACTCAAAGAGGTCATATGGCCAACCTCTAAGAAGCAGAAGCTAAGGGATGGGCCACTAGACCCTTTACCTCCAGGCAGAAGGGACCCAAAGAGAAAGGACAGGGAAACTCCTCCCACCCTTCGGTCTCCTTTTACCATGGGGAATCCCAGCACAAACAGATTCCCACTTAACAGAAGAGTGTACTTCATTGCTCTAAGGTCTAGAAAGGTACTGAGATGTCTAAGGGCACTGAGGCTGTGAAATGAAGCTTAAAATTGAAGTCTTTAGGGAACGGGATCTAAATACCATCAAATTATATTGCATGAAAATCACAAAGATTGGTCTGGAGACATGACTCAGTGGTTAAGAGCACTGACTGCTCTTGCAGAGGACCTGGGTTTGATGCCCAGCACCCATATGGCAGCTAACAACCAGTTCCAGGGCATCCAACACTCTCTTCTGACTCCCGTGGGCACTGCATGACATGGGTGCACAGACACACAGACAACATACTCATACACATAAATTTTTTTTTTAATCACAAAAATTGAAAAAAAAAAAAAAAGTCTTCCAACTTCCCAGCCCAGGGATATAACCAGCTACATGCAGACTGCTCTTCTACTCAGAAGCCCAGAGTCCTGACCCTATGTTTCCCCTTCTTCCTACCATGTCC